AATCAGAGCGCGGCTTCGAGCGAGTCCAAGCGAACATCGAGCAGCCTGACAGCCTCCGAGATGCCGTGGCCAAGACCGGCGCGACGCGCGTTTTTCTCTACCTCTCCTATGCGACGCCCGACTTCATGAAGGCCGGCCTCGAATCACTCAAGGCTGCCGGAATTGAGTACGTCGTCTTTTGCAGTAGCTACAGCATCCAGCTCGAGCTCGACAAGATCCCCCAGAGCGACATTATCTCCTTCTTCCATGCCCATGTTGAGAACAGCCTGACCGAGGTGTTCGGGACGTCTGGGTTTGCAGCGATCCGTGGCGGGTACTTTGCTTCCAACACGCGCATCTGGGGCAAGATGATCGCCGCCGGGGAGCTCAAGCTGCAAGCCCCGGACGCCAAGTTCGATTATGTCTCGCCTGGAGATGTCGGAGAGGTTTGCGGAACGGTTCTTGCCAAGGGACCTGCCATTCTCGAGGGTCAGCACATCCAGGAGATTGTGGCACCCCACGTCTTGAAGCAGAAGGAGGCAGTTGATATTATCGCCCAGGTGCTTGGGAAGGAGATCAGTGTGACGACGCCTACTCGTGAAGAGGGCGTCAAGATCTGGATGGAGGGTTTGGGGCTCCCGGAGCCCGTCGCGCAAACGTTTTACGACATCCTGGAGGGGAGGGTCAACGAGAATGATGGCATGTATCGGGAGGGTGAGTTCCAAAAGTCGGTCGCAAATACGCAAAAGTTTTTGGGCAGGCCTGGGAAGAAATTTGAGCAGTGGGTCGAGGAGAACAAGGGAATTTTTGAGTAGGGAAGGAGCGAAATACCAAGCACCTGTGGGGTTGGGGGCCCGGTTTCTGCAAGATCTGCCAGAGGCAAGTCACAAACTCCTCAGGCCAGACGGGAGGAACAAAAATTGCCTATTGCAGTTCCCGCAGTTCTCGAGTTCGTTGACCCTCAAATGTCATGATTTATGGCGCTCCTTTGCTTGATTACAGCCCTCCATAGTTCCTGAACATCTGGACCAGTGTTAGAAACAACCTGCTGCACAATGCCTTTCCTGCACCAGGTTGTCAAACCCTAAATGACGCTGTTGTTCGACGCCCTGGCTCCCTCCATGGCATGCGCCGAACCCAGGCCCCCCTCCATCCACACCCTGTGCACCATCCCAGCACCACACATGGCCCTTCGTTCCACCCGTGTTCTGATGTATGACGCCGTGACAACATTGACCCATTTTGGATCATCCGGAGATCTACACGCCCCAAGATTGTGCCACCTGGCGACTTCGATGCTCCATTCCTCGTCTTCCATAGGCGGCTGCCGTTGGAAAAACCTCGGGGCCGTGCGTGCCGGAGGCCTCTCCACGGAAATGCGTATCTGATAGTCGGTGAAGCAAACATCGCATGAGCTCAGGACCCCAGGGGTCAAGCGAAACGGCTTTGAAGATTCTTCATCGCGGCCTAGCACGGAACGGACACGCGCGCAGGTGTGACGGCAAGCCATGGTGGGGCCAAATACGTCGATGGAGGTCCTCAAAGACTGCGTGGTACCTCCCCTCTTTCTGTCGATCCGAACTTCTGTAATGCTATGGACGTAGAGTTCGTTATCGATAATCTTGGCGTCACTGGAAGTTGTGGTGACAACCTTGTGGACAGGGTTGTAATTGCGATGGGTCGCTGCGGTATCCTCTAATGGCGGGCCATGGAGAGGCCCGTAAAGATGGCGGTTCATGATCAGCCGGACCCAGTAAAATGTGAGGTTAGGCTGGTGTGACGACACGCTCTCAGTCATAATGTGCCAGCCGGGCCTTCTGGTATCCAGGCCACATGGCCCACGGTAGAATTTGTAGGTTGCTGCGAACCCACGTCCCGCCACTGCCCGCCGATGAAGGCGGTCACAGCCGTGACAAAAGTAGAGATTGGGAAAGTCTTGCTCAAGCCATTGCAGCAGTGCTACTCTTGCAGAAGCAGACAACTGAAGCGATTTGGGGAAATGCTTGACGAACAGAGAGCGGCAGGTCAGAGAAAATGCAACGGCCGATTCTGGCGGAAGGCGCTCGAGGACCATGTCGATAAGCTCGGTCGGTATCTTCAAGGTGCATCGCTCCTGAGCCGAGAACCTCCGTTGATGGCATCCCGGAAGAAGGATGCGCCGAAGGGTCAAAAGAATGAGCTTCATTCTTTACAAAGGGAGGGTTGACACGATGCAGGGAGGATCGGTGAATGTCAGGAAAATATCCCTTCCGTTATATTGTGTCGTCATCGGGCCGTATCAAAGCTTACCGGGTGAAAGAGGGTTTAGGTTCGTCCACCCGTTCGCAAGATCGCAATCTAACTACCGTGAATTGATTATTGGATCACATGACATGACAACTTGTGGAAGCTCCCTCATTTCAAGTTATCGTGGAGAGCCTCTGGCTCTGGTTGTCCGCAAAGGTATCCAGATTGCAGTCTCTCATCTGTCTTCAACCCAACGCTCGGCACGATGGCTCTTGCTGTGCGATTCTGTCGACTTTGGCTCTCAACAGCGAAAACACGCGATATACGCGATAATAGATCGTTGGCCGTGGCCAAAACAATTGCTCAATTGATTGAAGTTATCTTCGTTGTGTTCCAAAACCAGTGTCCATCATTGTGGGGATTTCCGACCGTTACCCCTCTTTCTGGATGGCCGGCACCAGCCTCTGGCGGCTTACCCAGCCACGAACACGGCTTATTCCGTCGCCCGTTGACAGATTCCAAGACCACTAGAACGTTATTTCCACATCATCTCATGACCCGTGCATGGCCTTACAGGGAAGGCAGGGGGCGCTATCGCATTGGTTTGAGAAGTCTTGTATGGGTCAATCGTTCTTTCCGAGTTCTTTTCACTGGTGTCGGTTATGGAACGAGCAGGGAGGTGAAAGACCCAGCAACCTGGAAATCACGCTGTAAAGCCCGAGAGTGAGGACTTAGGTGGTGGGGGGGGGCGGAACGCGGTGTGCTTGCAGGTATACGGCGCAAGGTCATTCTCCCCACAAGTCCATAACAGCCCAGGTAGAAGTTGCTTTCGCAACAAATTCAATGGCATCTAGGCCAGCAGAATATTGCGAAACTAGCAAGCGCGTGAGCTCCCGAGCAGCAACGTTCATTCCGGCGAGTTTACATGGACCGGGATTGACAAAGTCAAGGCAAGACCACAGTTTCCGGAAGGGAAGCATGGCTCTTTCCATTACGACAGTCGCTGCCCGGTGACAAGGAATGTCAACGGCAAGCGCAGTCTTTGCAGGCCCGGGGTTTATTCACTTCCTCTCCCCCGAATCCTCTTCGTTTCTCCTTTTGGTTCATGCCCAGTTCACGACACTGCGACTTTTGACCGAAACAAACCGACAACATGAAGTTCCAGGACTCCGGTCCTATCATTGCAATTTGCGACCTGCTCTTTGACTTTGTCCGAGCAGCACGTCCTTCATGGTTCCCCTGTGCAGTGTCAGAGCGGCTTGCCGTTATGACAGTTACGCTGACTGCACAAAATGACAAGGCTGAGGAGATCCACAACGGTCCGATCGATTACGACTGCAATTCAGGGTCCTGTCCCTGAGCCGCAAGAGTCGATCGTCAAGCTCCTTTCTGACTTGAGGACCGACTTGCGCGACAATACTGCCGCACTTCGCGAGAACAAGAAAGCGAGTTTGGATCTGAAATCCGTCCTGGAGAAGCTGCCGACTCGCGAGGACCTTGAAAGTCTGAAGACCGAGATCAAAGCCTCTGTGAAAGGCGAGGGATCGAAGTCGACAGAGGATACGATGATTCAACTCCTTACCGAGATGCGGGATGCCCTCAGCAAGCTCCCGGGACGCGTTCCTGCCTTCCCCGAAGCCCCAGGGCAAGGGATGCATGGGCAATCCAGCTACTAGCAGGGCATATAGCTGATGTAGCCGCTGGCTAGGACGCCAGCCTTCCACCTCCCCCCGAAGGGTTGGTGGGGGTTCTCCTTCGGGAGGGCCCCCCCAGCGATCAGCTCGCACCTCATCGTGGTGCTGGGGTCTAGTACCCTTGACTGGGGAAGCCAAGACGAGCTGTTTCTGTAAGTCTCCCCTTCTGCCTCTGCCGCCGACGACCTGTTTTCTCGTTGGTTGGTTTGGCCCAGCTTCACTTCGATCTACAGACTCGCCGGCTTCATCGGATTTCCACAAGATCTTCGACGATATCCTCTCAGCAAACAGTTTCCTCCTCTACCCGTCTAGCCCACCACTTTCTGTGGCATTCTCCTCCTTTTACACCTGCGGTGTCTTCCAGTCTTCTCTCTTCCGACATAGAACCTCTTGACGAATTGTCACTCTGGTGCCGGGGTGTTCATCGCATCTGTTCAGCTGGGCGAGCACCGTCGCGAAGGCATCTTCTCACCAGTCCCGTCGCCCAATCCTAGCGATTGCATCCCCTGCCCCCAAGCTCTTCTCAACAGCCGAGATCGCTCTTCACGTTTGTCCAGTGCCCCTCCCTTGAGCTCGAACTACACTCCAATCCAACTCTTCCATCCGACTTTCGACCCACGCTAGCGTGACAACTGATGGCTCAATGGGATGGATGACTCGAGAATGGGATGTGTGGTTGGATATAATGCCTGAAGGTGGTGGTCGGTTCGTTCAGGGCAAGGGGGAAACAAGGGGGGTGGCGGAAGGATTGGAACATATCTTCCGGCAGCGCAGAAAACACAGTACATGATATGTGCAGCATAAATCAAAGCGAGTTGAGCTTCGTCGAATTCTCGCGTGTGATTTGAAATGCAGAGACTCCGATTGCACCCATCGTGCACGATTGGCCCTTCAACTGTGAGAATGCGGTGACAGAAAGAACATGCCGATCCTCCCTCGCAATGTTATCACCACTCAGGGGTGCCCCTTCGTTGCCGCGACACCAGGCGGCAACCTGCTGTCCCCACTTGGGGAATTCCCGACCCAACTGAAGTCACGTTGGCTAAATCCACAACCTCCACAACGTCAAATGCCACAATTCTGACTCATAGAAATATCCAAGGGCGAATAGCTCAGCGGTAGAGCAACCGGCTGCAGTCCGGTAGGTCATGAGTTCAATCCTCATTTCGCCCTAATGGGTTTCCTTTTGCATTATATCTTTCCTTTTTGGCCATGGCGAACTGCTGCTTCAAGCCCGCAAAGAGAGGTTGTCATTTTTGGCCCCGATTACAGCGTCATGAGTGTCCTTGCAGGTTGCATCGTGCCAGACATGAATGTCGAGACTCTGATGGTACCCAAAATAGTCCCGAGTGAATGCAAAGCAGCGGGCGTCCAAGTATATAAAGTTGAGCAGATTCGCAAAACAAAGTCCAGGGCATACTATATGAGCCAGATCTACTCATAGCAAAGACCATCACAACTCCAGCCGTCAACCAAGTAATATCGAACACATGGTCCCAAATAGGTCTCTCAGGCTTCGACTCCTGCGACCACCTCATCAATCTTCGCAGTTACCACTCTCAGAGGATCAAAAGTCTTGATCTCGTCCTGAATCTTCTGGCAAGCCCGTTTGTACTTTGGGCTCGACAGGACCTCATCTATTCCGGCCCTAAGCGCTTCCACCGTGGGCCTGCCCGTCCTGAGATTGACAGCAACGCCGGCCCATGCCGCGATGGCGCACATCTCAGTCTTGTCTTCGGTGTCGCCTGCTACCACAAGAGGGGTGCCCTGCGCGATGCTGTGCTGAACACCACCATATCCGCCATTCCCAACAAAGACATGCACAAATGGCAAGATGTCGTCGAAGGGGATGTAGTCCGCAACGCGGACATTCTCAGGGACCGTGATGCTAGGGTCGAGTGTAGCGCCTCGCTCCCCGAGAACAACAACGACAAGGGTGTTGGGCCGGTCCTGGAGGGCCTCCATCGTTGGGATGACCAGAGTTGCGTAGTCAAAGACTACAGTACCCTGGCAAACGAAGACAATGTCCTTCTTCGACGGGTTGTAGATGACCTCACCCCACCAGGACGGTCTCTCCGGAGGGGTTGCTTTGGGATCTGCCGGAAGCTTTGGTAACCCTCCGGCGTAGCTAAAGGACTTGGGTGCATCGCTGCGAGGGTACTGGGTTGACGGGGGGCACATTTGCAAAAAGCGATCTGGCCACAGATAGGGTGCATCGAAGCAGAAGCCATCATCGACTGCAGCGCCGAGTTCCTTCATGATATCATTGAATGCCGCCTGGGCCTTGGTGTAAAAGCCGTGTTCGATTTGCTTCCGTATCTCAGCATATTGGGCGACTTCTGCTTCAGACGTGGGCGGTGGGAGCCCGGGTCCAAACGGAGCGGTGTCCCTGCTGTTGAGATTCACGGGGTTGATGCCGAGGCCGATAATGCCATCGGGTTTCACGCCTCTGGCGCCCCTCTTGAATGGGAGGGAGCCCAGGAAAGCGGACTCGTTGAGCACAATCACAGGTCTGCCAGGATTTTTATCCTTCAGGCCCTGGATGGCCTTTTGGACTGCGGCGAACTGGTCGGGGATGACCCTGACAAAGCTGTGCTCGATGGTGAAAGCAAATTGCTCCGGTCCAGGAGGGATGAAAGCCCTCTCGGGCCACCTCGTCTCGCGCTCGCCATCCCAGTAGTCTCCATAACCTTTGATGGCAACGTAGCTACAGCCAACATCCTCAAAGGTCTTGCGGTAGTAGCTGGATGAAACAGCGGTGACTTCGTACCCATCAAGAACAAGGGCCTGGAACGGTATCAGTGGTGTTGGTTCATGGTCAGGGCATTCTCTTACCTTTGCGAGAATCTTGATAGGATTGGTATGTCCCTTGCCGGGGGTGCAGGTCAGGACAATCAAGGGCTTCAATGAAACCGCCATGTTGAAACTTGCTGTGGATAGGTATGCAGGTTGTCGGCCGACTCGGTGGTACGCTGGTGTCACAACTCGAGGAAGACTGCAAACTTGATAAGCGGTGTCAAGGCCGGTGGACCTCGAAACTTGTGGTCACGTCTCTGCTCGGCCGCGAAGAACCGCAAGCCAGTCAGATAAGACGTTGGTTGTTCATCAGGGGCTGTACTAGCGTGTGCCGGACCAAAACTCCGATCCTTGACCTGGTTTGCGCCATGTTGCCCAACACTCCTGCTTGGGTTGCATCCGCCCCCCCTGAACTCCAGGCGCTCGCCAAGTGCCAGGAGCGCCAATTAGCTTCTGCAGGAGAGCGTTCGACCCTTCCAGGCACACAGCGGGACGCCCCCACACTATCAAGAGAACCAACCCTCGTGTCAGCAATCGCTCTTTCCTTCTGAGGATGGTTGCACAGTCTGAACACAGTGCGCTCTCCACAGTGACCCAGGAGTTGGCGGGCCTTCCCCCGTTCCCTGCAAGCGAACGACCCAAAAAATCAGTCCTCGACTTGTCGCTCCCAAGGTTGGCCGATTGGTAGACTGGGAAGTCAATCATTCTGGCATCATGGCGTCGTCCAAGCCCATCCCCTCTCGTCGCCGGCATGATATCGACAATGTGCGCAGCTTTCTTGTTGCAACAACCATCGCGCACCACGCTGCCGTCGCCTATGGCGGTACCGGCCCAATGCCGCCAGCAACGGCGCTCTTTGACAAGAACTCGGCACTCCTGGCTCCATACATTGCCATCAACCAAGCATACGGCCTAGGCTTGTATTTTTGGATGTCAGGCCGTATGTCTGCCCAATCGCTCTCGCATTCAACGTCATTGGATTTCATCCGCTCAAAGCTCTGGCGCTTAGGTGTCCCTACGGTCCTGTGGTCTGTCTTCCTTGACCCTCTGAGCGAGATATTCCACCGCCCGAGAGGTGATCTCGTCTCCAACTTGAAGGCCTACGTACAGGCGGTTCGGAACGTCAGGGGCGTTCAGGGCCCCGTCTGGTACACGGCGACCCTCCTCATCTTCGATCTCACCTCTCTTGTGCTCAAGCGCTGCTTCGAACTGTTCAAGTCGGGCCGCACCAAGACTATTGAGTTCTCGGGGTTTGCCAAGTGCTATGCTCTGCTTTGTCGATGGGGCTGGTTGGCAGTGGCTGCCGGGAGCTTCGCGGTTAGGACCCGGTTCCCGCCAGGAAGAGCATTGCCTGTGATCAACCTTCAGCCTTCGTACGTCCTCCAGTATATCTACGCGTACGGCCTGGGTCATATGGCGTTCCATCTCGGTAAACGGAGGATGACGGGCCTTTTTGACCGCGCGTCTGGTCGAACACTATCGGTAAAACAGGCTTTTGGGCTTGCTGTGGCTACGGTACCTATTGTCCTCCTGCCCGTTATCCTGCGATCGAAGAAGAAGAATGAGGTTGATGAGAAGAAAAGTGACCAAGATTTGGCGGCCGACGGGGACGAAGGAGGCGGTCTTGAGCTCGGGGGCTGGAACTGGACGGCCGCTCTGTACGCAACTTGGAACGAGCTGGCATTCACCGCTATCGGGCCCGCACTCATGGCCAACTTTGAGCGGTACCATACCGAGCCTGCGAGAAAGATGTGGTCTCCTCGGTATTCGTTTGCGGCCTTCCTCCTCCACTCGCAAGTTTCCTGGGCTGTCGGTGCAGGCGTCGACGCGGTGTTATGTCCTCAAGGAAAGAGGCAGCCATGGATGAACACAAAACTTTGGGAAGATTTGGGACCGGTGTTCATGACAGGAGCAATCAGCATTCTGGATATCATTGGGTCCTTTGGAGTCGGTCGACTTCTCATTGACTATGTACCAGGTGCAAGCAGCATTCTCTAGAGATCAAACAACTTTTCTGCGTTTCCAGAATACACGGCGTTCCACTCCTGTGCAGTGAAGAGTCTTTCACACCCCTCATCCAGCTCATGCGCTAGTCCGACGACAACCTTCTCAGGAGAAAACGGATAGTCGGTGCCGTAGACAAGCTTCTTTTCACCTCCGTCACCAAGAACCCTCAAAAGACCGTGTATCTGATTGGGGAAGGGGAAGCCAGCCAAGTCAAAGTAGAATCTCTCCCGCAGGAGTCTACGGAACTCGTCGCTTTGGCTTTCGGCCCCTCCGGTTGTAAGAGTCGCAAAGGCGCCGATGCGGTCCAAGAGGGCAGGCAAAGCACAACCACAGTGCGACATGATGAATTTGATGTGCGGGTACTTGGCGACGGTACCCGAAAGGAGCAGATTGGCCACGGCCCGGGTCTCGTCGAACATGAACTCCATCATGGGTCGGGGAAATTCGCCAAGGGGTGTCGCCGCTCGCACCTGGGACCCTGCATCAAGCAGGTTGCACGTGGTGGGGTGAATGAATACAACGGCGTGGCGATCATTGAGCTTCTCGAAGACTGGATCCAGTACCGCGTCCCCGGGATAGACCCCGTTTGCGTTGGACAGGAGTGCAAACCCCACAGCTCCGAGGTTGTCAAGAGCATAGTCGATCTCCTCAATGGACTCATCGATTGCTGGGAGCGGTAGCGATGCGAAGAAGCGGAAGTGTGAAGGATACTGGGTGCAGATTGATGACAGTTCCTCGTTGACCTGGCGTGTCTTGCTTGCAGCGGACCTGTCCTGAGAAGGCGTTAGGTGTGTGCCCGGCGAGGTGATGCTCAAGATGGACTTGGTGATGTTCAGCTTGTTCATCAGAGCGATGTGTTGCTCGGGGGACCAAGCCTTGGTGTGTCAGCGAAACATCCTGAGAGTGTCTGCACATTTACTTACGGGAAGCGCAGGCATTCCATCAGGCTTCTCGTGACCATTTTCCAGAGCATATTGGCGATATGTCGGGGCCACCACATGGCAGTGGACGTCGATTCGCTGCATCATGTGCATCTTGGTGGGCAATTCACTTGGAGCGTGGCAGCAAAACAGGCAATTCGGCAATCAGAACAACCTCAGCAGTCAACTGAGCAAGTCACCAAGTCTTCTCTTGATAAGAACAGTGCGCCTTTCGGCCGAAATGGCCCGAGTTTTGGGCTCGGTCGTGGACACGGCAGTGAACATCGGTACTTCCGGCAGGCACCCAACATTGGCAACGATAACCCGGATTGTGGATTGTTGGTTGCGCGCTACGTTGCTCCGCAAGCTCCTGGCAATGGCGTGCTACCGAGGGCTGCGGTACAGCCACCGAGTCCCCGACATGCTGTTCCTGAAAGGGTGGTTGGCCGG